TAAATGTAAAGTTCCTGCTGTTATATGATGCTTTTCCAATAAATATTAAAAATGCTCCCTCTGTTTCTGAGTGTGTTTTCTAAGACTTCACTCCACAGTCCAAAGACAGATTGACGTTATATTAAGTGGAGACTCTAAACTGGTTGTTTGTCTCTGTGTGTCTGTTTTTTAAACCCTGCTATACGCTGGCTGCGTCAGCTGTTATGATGGATGCACTGGAGCCTTTAAAAGGCAAAGTAGCTTGCAATTCCAGTTTTTTAAATGAATAGTGAAATGAAAGTTTGCATAATTTTACCTCGAAATGTGTTTAAATTTCAGAATGAAACCGAATTGTGGTAACTTTCATTAAACATCAGCAAACTCTGAATGCAAATGTCCTGCAGTCAAACAAGGATGTTAAAGTGAAGAGGCCGGTTTCTCACGATTCAACCTCAAGCTACCTGAACGTCACTTAACTTATCTAACAAGCTCCTGAAGACTGTCTCTGTGAGTCTGTGCTGCAAGACATCTTGTGTGGACATCAGCATCTCAACAGGACGAGACTGGACAGACCCAATATCAGTCTCAGTATCATATCACGTGCAATACTGCTATGGGGATGATGTTTAGATTTCTTTATTCTTTATTTCCCTTTGCTGCTGTGACATAAACGTCCATGTAGTGGGACTCATAAAGGAATATCTTATCTTATATATCTTAAATCTGTGAGTGGATCTTAAACATGCACAATTCCATATTTATCTTTATTTCCCACCTATTGTGAATTCTTTCTTTCACTTTAAACTCTTTTTAAATATGTTCTGTTACACAGACTCCTCCTCAGCTCACAGACACGATCACACTCTGCAGTCGGTGACTTTGTTAAATGAACTCGAACACATTTAATTTGCACGAACACACGTTAAGTTTCATCATCACCGGGGAGAGCCGCACCCCCGGAGCTCCGTTACCGCAGCAGCTGCAGCGGCGGCGGCAGCAGCAGCGGTGGTGTGATCACGTGACGCCTGCATTTCCGACACAACAATACAAACACGGTGTCGGTCCGCGTCCACGCTCCCACTCTCTCTCTCGCGCTCTCTCTCCCCCTCCCCAGCGCCTCGCTCTCGGTATGGCGGACGGCGAGCGGTCCCCGTTACTATCAGACCTGGGAGATGGAGCTCTTGGCAGCGGCAACGGTGGAGTGTCTCCCGGCGCGGCGCCCTACGGTGTGCCCAACAAACCCCAGAGTGAGTATCCCCGGTGCCCGGCTCTCCGCCCGGCTCCCAGCCGGAGCTCACCTAGCCGGAGTTAGCCTAGCCTAGCCTAGCCTAGCACTGACTGGGCATTCTGGGCGCCCTGCTAGCTCAGCTGTGACAGCGACAGAGACTCGCCCGGTTGTGTCTGTGTTCGTGCAGGATGTGATGTGAGCTGCCCGGTTGTTTAGCGAACAACTCCACGTGGGTCAAATCAGCAGTTTTTATACATTAATGCCGCAGAGGATGAAGGGAACCAGCGTTGGGCTAACAAGCTAGCTAGACTGCAACCGCTGTTAGCTAGTAGCTTGACAGCTAGCTGCACTCAGCTCAGTATTCTCATCTCCTCGCCGATTTTCATTTGCACATTTTAATTTGCACGTCCTTCCGGCCGCTGCGCCCTTAAGCTAGCTCCGGTGCACCGCTCCTGTTAGCTTAGCGTCCGAGAAGCACCTGACGTGATTGACAGGGATGAGAGCCATGATGGAGGCTGCTGATGGAGGCTGCAAGACGCAGCTGCGACCAATGGCCGCGGACCGAGGGAGGGACCGTGTCTGAGGACGTTAATGGATCGAGCATGAGATGTGACTCTTCATTATGTTGTGACTCTTCATTATGTTTTGCTGCTCTGAGCTCTGCTCTTCCTCTGCTGGCCCGGTGGGTCCTGTGTGTACACATTATACTCTGTGTTGCATCAGACAGAAGAGTGACCTGTTCACTTTCTCTGACAAACACTGAGACTCCTATTTGGTGGGACTAACGCGGCTCAGCATTCCTGGAGTGTTTTCCTTCCAAAGCTCCTTTCAGTTGAACCCGAGGTGAAATCTTATTACCCAGTTAATCGTAACGTAAGAAGTTACTTGTCGTGGGAGTTGAGGCAACTCTTGTGACTGTTTTTTTTCCTTCCCAACAATCCTTCATTTGTCACTCACCGCTCCTGCTGTTGTTTTATCAACCACTCTTTTCCTCCCTTGTCCCCCGTCCAATCCAGGCTTTCCTCCGTTCCCCAGCCCAACTCAGCCCTCGGTGCTCCTAGGGGAGGATCCTCCACCCTACTCCCCGCTCACCTCCCCGGAGAGCGGCAGTGCCCCTGTTATCAACTGCAGGGTGTGTCAGAGCCTGATCTCCGTGGAGGGCAAGATCCACCAACACGTGGTGAAGTGTGGGGTCTGCAATGAAGCTACGGTACGTTTTTTAAAAAGGAATATGTCAAACACACACAGCCTGCTTCCTACTTCTGTTTCTCACAGATCTGTAGTGGTTTTCCAGCCGCACAGGGTGTGTTAGGTTAATCCTCCCGAGATTTCCGTCTCCATCTTGTCACAAATGATGCTATAAATGACTCAAAGTAATGGAGATGGATGTTTTAAAAAAAAAATCCAACAGAATCAGTATCAACATCACTTCCACAGAGATCACAGTGAGGTCACTAATGGTCTCTGTAATCCCCGTGAAATAATGTTCATGAGAAGTTGTTCCATTAAAACAGTTCTCATTAACCAACGCTTTGAATAAACTGCATAGTGTTTAAACATGGGGTTTCCATGCAGCCCAACTCATAATATTAGTTTTCACTCCCACCTTAAACGTTGCTTAGCCAGCGACCAGCGATCTCGGTCTGATCTGGTTCATAAGAGTTTACTGATGCAGGGGAGCGAACCATCATCATCATCACACAGACAGCGGTCTTATCTAAAGCCCAGAGGAAGGTGAGACGTGATTTGTATAATGTTAAAACACGGATTCAAGTTTCCGCTCTCTCAGAGAACAGTGGACTCCACAAATGACTTTGGCCTGCAGTATTATGTGAGCTAATGAGGTGACACAAAGAAAGTGGCCCCAACAGTTGTAAACGACAAATACCTTGTAAAGAATATAATTGTGAAATTGAACATAAGGTGTAGCAGCTGTTTGGAGCCATTATGAAACTCATGTAGTGAATTTTAAATTCAATTCAAAAACGGCAACAGCAATTTTTCAAATGTACAAGTTTCTCTCATTTTTGAAGCCGTTGTCTCTATTTTGATAAGTTGTGCTAAACAAGCCTGTGGCTCTGCAGCAGTTTTCTAACGGGCATTTAACCAAAATCTGTGGAACTGATAACCAATCGTCTCCAAACACGCTGGTTAGAATTTATCTTGCTCAAAAGAACTATGGATACCAACTGTCTCTGTCTGTAGTTTGAGAGATACTGTTGCATTTTCAGGGTTATTCTCTGCTCGGCTTCTACAACTATAGGAAGGTGTAAGTCCATCCATCCATTATGGTCTTGAAAAGTCTGAAATGTACCTCGTAGAAACCTCCAGAATCCCCCTGTACCTCTTTCTTTTTACCTCATCTACTGCCGTTACTCAGGAGGAGCTGTTTAATTGTCTTCTAGGTCACTTGTGGAGTAACAAGCAGCAACTTAGGTATCCTTGTGCTGTACTCCCATCCCATGTCTCCTTATCCACAACTGCAGTACTGCTGCTTCTCTGAGGCTCACATTCTCCCTCACGTAGTATCGGATAATTCTGGTCCATCAAGAATAATTGGGTTGTTATTTACCCTTCTTTTTTATTTGTCGTTTCACCTCTACCTTGTGTCTCTGACTCCCTCTGCAGCCCATTAAGAACGCCCCAGCAGGGAAGAAGTACGTTCGCTGCCCTTGCAACTGTCTGCTCATCTGCAAAGTCACTTCCCAGAGGATCGCCTGTCCCCGACCATACTGGTGGGAAATACATACTCAACCTGTACTGTGTACTCTGTGTGTGTACACTGTGTATTAGTGTGTCTGTGAGAGAGAGAGAGAGACGTGAAGCGAGGAAACCAGGTGCAGTGGGAGTAACAGTACCTCAATTAAGACTCTGCTCCCAGCGCAGTTTACATGCAGTGCTCAGTGAGCCGGACGAGGAAATAACAGCCTCATTAGAACAGCTGCATCATGGGTTTCACTTCTGCATGTCGTTCATATTATGAGAGGTGTAGCTCTAGGGGTCATACACTGCATGTGTAGTGTCTGTCTGTGTTTCACTCACATATTTTATTCACAAATGGGAATTATGTTAAGATTTAATTTACAACCCTTGCTCCTCAACAGCTAGAAGAAAAAACACAAAAGTAAAAGGGCTCTCAGAAGAGTGCGCACCTCTGCCATGGCCCAACGGTTTCCTTATGAGGCCACATTTAACGTGTTAAGACCTAAGGCACCAAATAAAAACCTACTGTCAAACCTGAGCACTGTTTGAATGCTACCACCTAAAACCTGAGCTGTCAGAGTTGCCAACGTTCACAAAACTTTAATTTGTCAGCCTCTGAAGCAGACAGACACATGAAATTGAAAATGTGCCACCTTCGTCTTCCTCCTCCTCAAACACCTCTTTTACTGACTGAGCTTTGTGTCTGGTCTAGAGGGTTTTAATTCACTACATGTGGATTTTTATTTGGTTCTCCAAATTGCACACACTCATAGATATCAGTCCCCAGGGAAAAATGTTAAATCACCCTGACCCATAATGAAGTAAGTGCGGGGGGGGGGATATCCTGTATTTGATCTCAAATTTAACGGATTCTTCCCTTGGTCATGCCCCACCCCTCCACAAAATTCCGTGGAAATCGGTCGTGTAGATTTTGTGTAATCCTGCTGATAAACAAACAAAAACATAACCTCCTTAGCGGAGGTAATTAATTCAGTATCTATCTGCGTTAATTAAACTCTAAACTCCTGCTGTGCAGCTACCAGCCATATGCACATTTAGCAAATTCGTTCATATTATCACATCAGAGGGCAGAACGAGCACAAAAGCCACAAACGGATGACAGTAAACTAGGAAAGTTCCAAAGTCGTTCTTGCGTAGCATTCTTTATTTTCCTGGGCATAAAGAAAACATTACACGGCTGCTGACAGTTCACACACACCTCGAGAAAGAAGAGAACGGTTTCTGTTTCTGTCTTCTGTCAGGAAACTTGCAACACAACAATCCTTCCAGGTCAAAGAGATGCCAAAGTGTTGGGATTTTTATCATCACAAACACACGGCGGATGTCACAGAGAAACGTACGGCTCTGGCAGCTCATCTGAACGTCATGCTGCTGCAGCCGGGTGTAATTGCTCAGAAAGATAAGATTCCTTGTTTATGCTCGAGGCATAAAATGAGCAAGAGCAACATTTTTAGCCATCTTTTTTTTTTTTTTGCTTAATCTTCTGCTGCTATGTAAATGTGCAAAACTGTATGTTTTAAATATCTGAAATCTATAACTTATCTGTCAGCTTCAGTGCTGATCACAGGGTTGGACTCAAGGCTAATTAGGGTCTGCATGTTAATCAGTCGCAAAACATAATTTCACAAAATGTCCCATCTCAAACAAAAAATATTACATTTACTTTTAAACTAATGATTTCTTAGATGTTATTGTACATTTTATGCCCTTCAAACAAAGTGGGGAATCTGGCTCTTATCACTTTTTTCTGTTTTATCTTTCTTTTAAATCACTGTGTCTAACAAACAAAATTGTACTTTCATAGCTGAGTAGTGGGATTTTTGCACAGGTTGTCCGTTTTATTAAAGACGTCCTAAAAAGCTGCAAATATTCCCCAAAGGCCACATTTCCTGAATATAACTGCTCTGTAGAATCTTCAGTCTCACTGTTTTGTATTCAGTCCAGTCAGACTAAACCAGACACATCGACGAGCTGCGGTCTGATCAGTGATTCTGAGCTGTTGGTTGTAGAAAAGCAGCGTTAGTGGAACTGACGAGGATTGGCTGCCGTGATGTGTTGCCGCTGCCTTTCCTCACCAGCAGAGTGAGGCGACTGCTCACGTCAAACACTGAATAATATCTTGAGTCATTGTGTGGATGCTGACTTACTGTGGCTCTGTCTCTTCACAGTAAGAGGATAATAAATCTGGGTCCAGTTCATCCTGGGCCTGCCAGTCCTGATCCCCAGCCAGCCGGGGCCCGCGTCTCCTGTGGACACTGCAGCAACACCTTCCTGGTAACAGCCGCTCAACGTTTTCTTTGTTTTTTTTATATTTTCAGACTTAAAACAAATTCCCACATGATTTGGAATCAACACAGTCATAATTAAATTAGTTTCAGAGGTAAAACCAAACCAAATCCGTCTTGACCTCTAAGTACAGCACATGTACCAAAATCCTTTGAGCTCAAAGGTCCAATTCTGAGCTTTTCTTAATTTTTGCACCTTTTTGCTTTACAAGTTAAAGACTTGAGACTTTAGCAAGAAGGAAAGTGAAACAAACGTGCTCACTGATGAAGTGCAGACTTTCCCAGTGGCCACTCGTCAGCTGACTGAGTCCCTGAGTCACTCTCATTCCTCTCGCACAATTAGTCTCTCTGACAGTCAACATCTTTCAGGCTGTGACAGCTGGAATTCTCGGCTGTTTGATGAATTTTCTACGTTTAATTTCTGCAGTAGAGATGTTGAGAACTTGTTTTCACTTTTCTGGGGCAGCAGAACTTCAACCTTCAAGATATGAGGTGTAAGATGAGACCTAAGATATATTGCTAATGTGCAGAAGAGCAAATGAGCATAAAAACGATTGACTCTAATTATTAACTACAGCATTTGTAGTGTTGCTTTTCTTTAAATAGACAGTAATGGATTACAGTTATCAACCTCTATGGCATCAGCAGGAAATTCTGCATCAGTTCAACCTCTGTGTCTCTGGCACAAGTCCCCACCTCCTCTGTCTCAATGACATTAACCTGTAAAAGCACATTCACTGTAGGAGGCCAAAATCAAATCAAAGTGTTCTTGAAGAGATGATTCATTGTTGTGCAAAGGAGCTGAATAATAAAAATTGCTTTGGCATTTGCAATTTTGGCTTCCATCAGCTGCTAAAATATCTTGTGACAGTTTCAGGAGGTCTGTTGTTAAGTGTTTCGCTGCCCAACCAAAGAAAAGTGAATTACTGAAAAGCCAACCCCCTGTTGCACCAGGCCAAGTAAATAAATGTTGAGTTATTGGTTGAGATCAATAATCCTATAAACTCTCAGCTGATATACTCTGGCCATTTTGTGCTAAAGGGAAAGTTTAAGTCTTAACTTACTCCTCTTTAACAATGTGTAGGACAGATAAAGATGGTTTGGATATACGGTGAAAGGAAGGAAGGAGGGAAGGCATGGCCAGAGAAAGGGAAGAGAAGAGGTGTAAACAGATGTGAGATAGATGGTACAGGGTGTTTAGCATTCAGCTGGACCTTCCCCTCCTGCTAAGAGATACGGCGGCTGAATGAAAATACAAATCTGTGCCCTGGGTGGCGTCGCAGTGAACCTTTTGTCACAGATTTAGTGATTACGTTCTCCGTGCTCCTCGCGCAGTGTCTCCATCAGAAGAAGAAGAAGAAGAAGAATGTACAGCACGCAGAGTGTATTTTGTTCTCATAAACACACCTGAGCATCAGGGAGGGAACAAATGTCTACACCCTGAGAGAAAGCAATTTTTCTTTATCATTTTTTTGTATGGTAAGCAGCACCTGTTGGCAAGAACTGGGATAGTTGTATTAAATTTCCCAAAATGTGTCATCAATCCAAGTGCAGCTGCAGGCGGATTTAAATAAGGTAAATAAGATTTGTATTGGCTGCACATGATGCGTACGTGCATTCAAGGTATTAGACACGTCGGTTGCAGATTTGCCTGGAACTGGTGTGAAGCTGAGACCAATTCTTGATCTATTGATTATTAGTCACTTATCAGAAAAACATCAACAAGTATTTTTTGGTTCAAGCTTCTCAAACGTGACGGTTGTTGCTTTTTCCTCTTTAAAAAAAAAAAAATAAAAAAAATTCCAAATGGAACATTTTGTTTTGTGAATCGATGAGTGAGGTGTATGCTGCAGCAGAAACACTGGTATTGAAATTGAATTGAATTGAATTTAATGTAATACTGAGAGTTACACACCCACATCTTTTCTCTTTGTCATTTCCAGTGGACAGAGTTCACAGACCGGACGCTGGCCAGGTGCCCACACTGCAGGAAAGTGTAAGTAGCCATAAGAAATGAATCCATTACACCACATCATGCTCACTGTACTCAAATAAACTGGAGTTTTGTCTTCACGTTATTTCAAGCGTTTTAGATAGAAAAACCTAAGAGTGAGTAGGTAAAGTCTTCAGGGGCGTTCTCTCTCTCAAGGACAGGACACACTGTTTTTGTGAATGAAATGTGGCATCCTGTTCATGTCTTTGTCTCTAACCTCCACTGGTGCAACACACGTTTCCCACCGGCCTCGTTCTGTTTACATGTGTCTGCTTTCAGACATTCACCGAAGTGGAGGCGTTTCCCTAAAATTATCCAGAGTGGTTGATTGTGACAATGCGAATGTCCAAGTCAGGACCTTTTCCAAAACACTCCCTGTCGGCCCCCTTGCTGAAACGTGTGTGAGTGAGAATAAAGCAGGAAAATTCACTGAAAGTGATAAAATAAAAAGATTACAAATATCTCAGGATGAGAAAGACGCGTCGTACACATAGAAGATGCCAATGACGACGTCAATTTGGAAAGATGAGGAGATTCAAGAGCTTTTGGAGAGAAGGACCGATACCGGTGTCAAAGTGCTGTTAACGAAAACATTGAGCTTTTCACAGAATGTTCTCGTCTGACCTAACCCGCTGCGTTCTGTACATATGAAAGGCAAACTTCCAGTCATTGAACTTACTACTGTTAATCACATTCCTGAATCACCGGCTCCATAAGCTTCTTAACATCACGAGCGAATGGCTGAAAAGTGAAATGTGCCAGTGTGTTAGTTGTATCGCTGCAACAAGGTGACCTTAAGCAGTTTTTGTAAAACGGCTTTAGTCAGGAGATTTCGGTTCGTCACATCCAAAATAGCTCCAGGATGGATTGAGCCCGGACAGGTGCTGCTTGAATTTGAATTTCTGCAGGTGCGCTTCCTTTGGCTGCCACAGATATAGAATCACAACATATATAAAGTTTCTGGTCCTGGAGAAACTTTTGTGCCAGAGGAAAGGAAATGAGGAAATGTCCACTATTCAGACATTTTGCCGTGTCACAGCTAGAAAATCAAAGATGTAAATAATAGAGTTTCAGAGTGGTCGCTCTGTTTCATGTGTTACTGGGACAGTTTATAGTTTAGAAAGACACTGGGTCATATCATTGAGCTGCATTTAATTTCCTCTCCTAATAAAGTCCTCTTCTCTCTTGGTCCTGCAGCTCCTCCATTGGTCAGAGGTACCCCCGGAGGCGGAGCTTGTGGTGTTTTCTACTCTGCTTGCTATTTAGCATTTCCACCGCCGGGCTGATGGTGAGTGAACACACTGACATCTGAGAGATTAAGACCTGTTCGGCATTTAAAAGATATTCACTGTGCAGAGCGGACAGAGGAAAATACAACTAATATCTGTTTCTCTCAATCTGTCCTGTTTTCACTTCTTCAGTTTTGCCATCTCTCTCTCTCTCTCTCTCTCTCTCTCTATCTCTTCGAGTACTCTCCACTTTCATGTGCACACAACCTGTCAGTGCATTGAATATTTGATGTTATAGTTGTTGCTCTTATTTAAGTTACAGTAGATTTGGTTTTACATACCAGAAGGAGTAAATGAGGAGTGCAAGAGTCTAAAAGTACATTTTGACCAGCAGAGGGTGCAAGATGAGCAGCAAACAACGTAAATCAGTGACGACAGTGTGTGTGTCTGCATGCAAAGAGAACAGTGACCTTTTACTGTGCAGACAATAAATCTGCCTCTGTTGACAACGTTGCATAATGATGGTGTGGCGGGAACAAAAAAATATCTCAACCTGGCATGTAAAGGTTTCAATTACACGAATGGTTCAAGAGCAGGTGTTTGACAGTTTAAGCCTCAGAGATTTACATTCCAACAATGCGAGACAAGAAACCGGTGGAACTTCATCCCCACACTGAATTTAATCAGGAATACGAAAGCAGTGGTTTCAAATGAAGGTGGATAAAATAGAAGGGGTTGAACTAAACAATCAAAATTCATAAAATCAATAAAACTGAACCGTTGGAGACGGTCCAGCTTTTCTCTCACTGTAGAACTGAAAATACTGCTTTTGTGACAACGATGCTTTGAATTTACTGTGAAACGAAAAGCGGCTCCATCTTTGTTCAACAATGAGGAAAACATGAACGAATCCAAGTCCTGAAAACAGGTCAGCTGGACCTTGTTGATTCCTCTTGACCTGTTTTCAGCACGTGGATTTATCATGACCTGGATCTCCACGGACGAAGAACAAAAAACTACATATCAGAAAAGAATGAATCAGAAATCAAGAGAGTGGGTTCGTTAGACGAGTGAATGGATTGAATGTAAAACACTGAATAACCAAAGAATTTGACCGTCTCAACCTTGAGAGCAGGAAACAGACTCGGCCTTCAAGAGAAACTGTTGTTTCAAGGTCACATTGAGGAAATAATCATTAACACAGAATGTGGTCGCTCAGCTCATTCATTCAGTTTCACCAACAGTGTGGCTAGCATTGTTTATTACCGTGTGTGTGTGTGTGTCTTGTCTATGTTGGGACCAGATTGAGTGTTGGACCTTGTGGAGGGAGGACATCTTAGCTGCACGTCTGAAATTCAAAGAGTTGTCAGAGAGTTAAGACTTTGTTGTTATGGTTGGGTTAGGTCAATGCAAAGTCCCTGTAAGGATAGCCGTGCAAACCTGTGTTGGTGTGACGCCAATTCCAAAGTGTCCGAAACCTGTGTATTCTCTCAAATGACCAGCAGAGGGCGACTCCACGGGTTGAGGAAACTCCTACTTCTCACTTGATTTATAAAGTAAAATATATTTGTATATATAATACTTTTCTGTCCTTTACCTTAAAGCAAACATCCAACACACACAAAACCTTTCCTGCCTCTTGTCCTCTTGTCCTCTTGTCCTCTTGTCCTCTTGTCCTGTCTTCTCATAATCTGGTGTTTGTCAACACAGGACAATGTAAATTCAGTATATGAGCAGAGCAACAATATGTGGAAACCAACAAGGTTCATTAGCTTCTGCTGATGTTTGATATCCGTATTAGCTTTGCTCCAGCGCTGTGACTTTCAGTCCGTTGCCACTCATATTTCCATATTGTCAGATAATCCCTGTGGGTTCTCTCAAAGTCATTCTCGCCATCTTCATTAAATAATTTTCTTTCTGAGCAGCTGCACACTTAATACTTGATGGGAGAGACGTTTTCTCTCTTACCCACTCACTGTTAAGTGTTGAAGATGAGCTCTTGCATGAAAAATGTGCTTTTGAAACGTAGAACTCGCTGTCGTCACATCAGTCTGCTGCAGGTGGATTCATCTCTCTCTGTCATATGTGGAAGTAAATGTCTTTTAAAGGGATGTTCCTGTGAGGAGTTGTAACAAAAATATTTTGCAACTAATAAACATTTTAAGGAATATTCAATGAAGGCTTGATATTTTAGAGTTTAACCATAAACCTCGTCATAAATAACTATAAATAAAATCTAAAACATTTTTTTAAAGTTGATCGTAAACATGAGGGCATCGTTTCTTTTTAAATCTTCACCATATTCCAGTGATTGTGGAAAATATATGTTCACATAATGAAAAGAAAAGATGCATTTATGTTTATACCTTTTTTTACAATTTAACCATAAACTTACTCATAAATGTTGTATATCTTTTTTCTGCATCGTCTTTATTCTGTAAAATAAAAGTTTTCATATTTGCTGGGACATGGTGCAGTTGAAATCATGATTAATGGCTTGTTAGCTTCCTAGCAAATCATAATCTGTAATAAATGGTGTCATCTGAATATCTAACAGAAATCACTCTGTGTGTTTTTCCTCAGGCTGGAACGTGGGTGAAGGCTCAGACCTACCAGGGGATCTACGCCTCGTGGGCCGTGCTGCTGCTCCTGGTTCTCGTCACCTTAGCTCGGGCCTTTTACTGGGCCTGCATGAGGGTCAGTCAGCCCCTCCAGAACTTCACATAGAGCCCCCTCCGACTCTGTGGCTGACCTCGTCTCAACCCGCCAGGCAGGAGGAAAGATGGCTTTAAAAAAAATCAAAAACACAAAAAACAGAATATTTATTTAAATCCAACTCGGGAAAGAAAATGATCTTCTCCTCCTGCTCCCTTCCTTTTAGTCAAATGTGTTTCTAAAACTGGATGGCGGTGGCTGCGGCCGCTGTATATCTATCGGTAATTATGATGACGCGTATAGCCTAATGTACTGTCGATCTATTCTAATCTCGTGGCCAGTGGGGTTCATTTTAGCATTTTTAACACTTTTCTTCCCCAGCGCTCTTTATTCAGTTTGGCTTCAGTCTGTGGCACATCTGTTGCACTCCTGCAACCTCTAAGACAAGGGCTTCAAGTCTTAGACGTGAATATCGCTCGTTTTCTTTTTTTTTTTCCGAGGGGGGACTTTTGATTTCCGGTCCTGATTTGACATTTGGTTTAGTATCTTCAGCATTTATCAATTTTTTAAACAAAGCAAAAAAAAAATATTTTGAGAAAGTGGCAAAGTCAGATGAAGCTGGAAAAAAAAAAAGAAATAACGCCAGCAGCAGACGACTGGAGTAATTGACGGGACATCAGCCTCCTATTGTGAATCAAAAGATCAAGTAGGTGTTGAAATGTGTCTGAAAAATTGAATTCAGCAGTTTGTGAAGGTAGACTCTGATGTGTCTGAACTCAGTGTTTATGCTGAATTATCCCCTGGGACTGACTTTGATCCAAAGCAGCTTGAAAGCCTTAAACGGAGGTGTGATGGAAAGATTCAACACGCTCACACACACACACACACACACACACACAGACACATGAATGCATATGGTGCACATCAAAAAGACGAAGCTGTTTTAGAGTTGCAACAGCTCCGGAACCAGTTTGTAGAAGACGTCCCAGCCTCCGTCTTCAAAGACAAACCAGTGAACAGATTTTCTCCGTGTTGTTGCGTCCCCGTCTTCAGTAAAAGGCAAAAGTGACTCGACGCCACTTTTCATTCTGGTCCTGTTTGAGTACAACAAAATCTACAGCTGCTTTTCTTTGATCCGAAGTGAACCCAACAAGTTCACTTTTTAAAAAAAAACTTTCAGGTTTCTTTTTTGTATTTTATAATTCTTCGTCTCTCACATCTTAAATTAACACATAAGAGACAAGTGTTTCATTCTGAGTAAAACACGAAGCGCTGTTGGGTTTTTAGACGTCGACATCTGCCTCCACGTGCTATTGTCATTGAGGATGGAGGCTGGTCCTGAGGTTTCTGATTTGTTGGGTGCAGACGCTCAAAGCTCGATGTCAGCGAGAATAGGTCAGTAACATGAAAACAAACACTACACGTCACATTCTCACACTGCAAATCTCCCATGATGACTCGTCTGTAGTTCTGAATGTGGTGACTTTTCTTTTCTTCTGGATTCTGTATTTTTTTTTTGTTTTGATTGTAAATATACTTGTTGTTTATGTACAATGGAAGTGACTAAGCGAATTACGTTGCACTCCGAGCTTAACACTACTGCTGCGATCGCTGCCGACGTTTTTGTTGTTTTTAAGAAGGTTATTTTTGCAGCTCTTCACGTATTTAATGATTTGACAAACTACTAACCTAATAAGCCTCTGGACGCCCGGTCGTGTCCACATCATTAAAACACATGAACATAACTGCAGAATCACATTCCCACGCGATGACATTTCTATCTCGCGCACACAAACACACCCAGCACCTTATACAGTAGAGAGGAACACTGCATACACCGAGAGAGGAAGTACCCCTGCTGGACTGGACTGAGGCCGCAGACAGTTCATGTGTCATGTTATTTATTATATACGCTGCAAAAAAGGACTTCAACAGTTGTGCCGTTTCCCCAAAATCTTATTTACTGTGGGTGAAGTCTGCTTGAGTGAGATTATTTCACTTTTTTCCAGAGCGGTCCGAGGGCATTTTCTTTTTCCTCATTGAAAACGATTCACCAGTTTAGATTTTGGGTTTAGTGCGTTCATTTTTAAGATGTGGGGGGAAAAAGTAAAAATCAAGGTGACGCATATTGTTGAAGACCTTTTTTTGCAGTGATCATGTTTTATCCATAACTGCAAAAAAAAAAAAAAAAGAACCCATCATGTTAATGCCAATAATCAAGACCCTGGCTGATTCTCTTTTCAGAGTTTGTTTACACACAAATAAAGACATGATGATGTGCAGACATGAGTTTGGTTTTTACCGCCACGACCTCTGTCGTTACAAATAACAAGAAATGAAACTGGCTGATCTCGAGAAAAGAAGCGTTATCGTCAAATCCCGACATGCGCGATCTCAAGACACTTCACAGATGAACCTCGAGGCCGTTCAATATGAGAGAGAGAGAGAAACCCAACCGCTCTGCCTGTAGGACAGCGGAGAGGCGAAGGACGAATCCTCCGACAGAACCAGTCTGGGAGTCGCCGTCTTCAGCAAAGAAATGTCGGAGACAGAGACCTGCCTGGTTTGGTTGGTGGGTCCCAAATATAAGTTTTAATCAAGGAGGAAAGTTTTAAGCCTAATTTAAAGAGTCAAGGAATCTGCCTGAACAAATGTCTGACAGATCTTTAAGGTCAACACAAATCATAGATGTTCTGGAAGTCTCCAAACTTCACTGTCCACCGTTCCTGTGAAGCTGAACCACACTGAGTCTCATGTCCACTCACATGGTCCTCACATCTTCTCCGTGTGACGTGGACCCACAGCGTTATCGGAGAATTTGCTCTTGTAATGTGATTGAAGTTGTCTCTTTAATAACCGGGACGGGACAACGTGAACATTAGCAGCTAACAGACTCATGTTGTTTTTAACCTACTCTCGTCTGCTTATTAAGTTTATCCAGCTTAATTATTATAAATACAGTCAATTTAATTATGACCCCTTGAACAATTTGTCGTTGTTCTCTTGACTAAATCAACACCTCAGATATTACTTACTGATTTATTTATCTGTCCATGACTTGAGTCGTCTGATAAGAATGTGACAACACGAACTTCTGAACCAGAATTCCTTGAATCGCTCTGTGAAGACTTTGTGTTGTGATGACTGTGCGTCGTGTACGACTCCTGTCTGTGATGGTTCTCAGGTATATTCTCTTGATTTGAATACAGAAAATGAAACTGTCTAAAGAGCAGGTTTATTATAATGTGAGTAACTGAACCCTGTGATTAACGCATCCGTTCTCTGAACTGGGGTAATTCCTAATTATTAAAATGAGAGAAATCGAGCCGTTCCTGTTTTTTTTTTTTGCTGAACCTGGAAGACTCCAATCACAGACCCACTAATTTAAAGCTTTGTGCTGTTCTTTGAAAAGAAGCCAAATGAGCTTCTGTCTCCATTCTTTTTAATGAGCACCTCTACTTTCTATTTTTATTATTCCAATAAAACGCTGGAAAGAAGCTCATCTCTTTTCTCTCTCACACGACTCGGCCCCAGTCGGCCTCTTGAGTTTCATGCGGATGTATTTTTTTTCCTGGACACAAAGAGATGGAGGGATTAAGGACACTGAGAAACCTTTCAGAAACCACAGCTCCCCGGAGAGCAGCGTGGACCAGGGAGGACGAGAGACCAGAGACTGAGGGAGGTGAAGAAGACAATGTGTCTCACAACCTCCTGATTTTAAGTGAGGCAGCATTAGCCTCCTTTCATTGCGTTACACAACACACGGACACAGAAACCTACTCCAAGTGCTCCGGGTCCATTGTTTTGTCATTTTATTGAGTCGATTTTTCATTCATGATATTATTCTGCTCTGCCTCCTCGGGGAGCGTCTCTGTCTCTGCTCTCTTTTTGTTCTTTCTCTGCCGTCTTCACAGTTTTCCCTGGTGAGACGCTGCGGTGACAGTTCGGCTGATGTGGGACTCAGACGACTGTAGAAGGCGGGAAAATCTCCTACACTGTAAATCTTTGTCTTTCTTCTTTTTCGTGGATCACGACAGTCGGTCACAACTACATTCATTCAGATTTTTTATTAGTGGAGGATGATGCTTTGTGCAAATCACTTCACAGTTAACAGAATCATTTCGCTCCTTTCCATTCGACTAATCCGGTCATTAGGAAACATGTTCTTTTTTGATGATGATTATTTTCCTATCAGCTCGACTTGAAGATGCAGCAGCACAATAAACACATTACGTGGAAACGGCTTCAGTACGACAGACGTTTGACAAAGCTGCTTTCATTTTGGATGCAATGAATCATTTTCAGGCCAAATTTGGATTAAGTGAAGACAAAATGCTGCTTAATACGTTAAGTGAGGTTGAATTAGAGCTTCTCAATATGATTCATATTAAATCACAATATTAATCATTTTTATTTTTTAACCCTTAATTCTTTCCACCAAACTTTTTATAATTGTCCCTTTTTATTCTCTCTCTGTTTCCTCCTTTCATCATAAATCAGTTTATCAAATCAATGTTCAGAGCAAAGAACGAGGTTCAAACTTTTTTTTACAAAATAAACTTTAAATCAGTAATTCAATCCTAATCTGAGATGAAACGTCATCATGATACGATTCCAGTTCATTGGATTATCTCAAATCTCCATGTTGATAAATGATGATATTAGAATTCCTAATTTTTAAATTAGGGCTCGATAGGCTCTGAGATTTTAAATGACATTTAACATAAGGTGCCTTTATATGACAAATCTTTCAATAGCATGAGATAGATTCGTTCAGTCGAATGTTTATTGTGACATCATTTTTACATGTTTACACACATGTGACTCGTGACGTCAGTTCTCATGGTGGGATGTGATTTGTTACCGTCAGTCACCAGTTTGAGAGAAGATATGAAAAGTTCGACTTTCAGACTTGGAGACTGATCTGTGAACAGCTGGTGCGGCTCTGCTCAGGTCTTCAATCTTCTTTGACGATGTTTGTTCTCATGATTACACTGAACGGAAAGTTTAAATCCTCCAGTTTTCTGCTGATGAAATGCGACAGTGCCAGAGAAGCTGCCCAACAGTGGGTCACACGGGACAAATCAAGATGGACGACACGACAGAGCGCCCCAGAGCTGAAACCGGAACATCTGGATGGCCCCCTGGTGGCTGGCTGTGGTGCAGGTCGTGAACCCCACCTCCTCCATGTTGGCAGCATGTATAAGATCAGATTAACCGCTGAGAGTCGATGTTTTTTTTTTAATGCAACATTAGTTGTTCAGCGGAGTCGAAGCCTCGTGCTATCGTTTGAAAGCGTAAACATCCGCCCCTGAACCGAGTCGGCTCCAGATGACGTCACTAACGCAACATGGCGACGCCTGTTTCTGGGAATATAATTGGCTTCATTTTTTTGGACAGCGGGAGGAAGCGGAGCTGCGACGTCCACCTTCAGACAAAACTCAAGTTGTTCCAGAAAACATGAAGTTGAGAGCATCCCTGGCGTTTCCTTGGAAACCAAATGTAGAATATTTAATATTTATATTTAATTTAATTCAAAAACAACGTGCGGAGCTGCAACAGGAACATTCAGAAGTAAACACTTCGACTGACCGAGGAACAAAGTCATTTACACATCAAGGGTAAAGTGGGCGGGTCGCTCGTCAGCACGTTATGTTGAGAAGTGATTTCTTTTTTTTACTGGTTATTCTTTTATCGGACCTGCGAGTGAGTTCAACCCAGTCTAACTGAGCAGGTTGAAGTTATTCCACAGCGACACACACACAC